AGGGCAACTTGCCTGGTGTATTTGAAAAACAGCAGAAGAAGCCACTATGGGTGGAACAGAGTAAGTAAAGGAAAGGGTAATAGAAGCTGAAACCTGGAAGTAATGGGGAATTATCTGTAAGGAAGGCTTTATGGGTCACTGGAAGGACTTCAGCTTTTACTGATTGAAATGGAGAAGCCATTGTGAAATTTTGTCAATTTGGTCTTACTTAAAGATGACTTTGATATGTAAAAAATAGATTGAAGGAGGGCTAAGATGGAGGGAAGCTGTTAGGAGAAAGAAGGAATTTGGAGGCTATTGTAGAATTCCACATGAGAGAGAATAGTGGCTTGGCTAGTAGGAGTAAGAAGTGTCCAGATTCTGGATATTCAATAGGATTCGTTTGTTAATGTGGGGCATGAGAGAGTAGAAGGCAAGAGTTTCAAGGGTTTTGTTCTGAGCAGCTGGAACGACAAGCAAATAATAAGCAAAGTTTACTAGTTCATAATCAACTAAGGTAAATATGCAACAGTGAGCAAAAACTGCACACCACTGATCTCATGGAGCTTACCTATTGTTAGGAGAATTCTGTCTTAAGAAGAATACATTGGTATGTGTGTAGAATATCTCTGGATTGATATTTGAAAAACTAGAATGTGCTTGACTTTGAAGAGAGAGTTTGGAGATCTAGAGGGCAAGAGAAGCTTTTCAATTTCACCTTTAGTCAATTTTTTTTTTAAAGATTTTATTTATTTATTTATTTTCATTTATTTATTTGACACAGAGAGATCACAAGTGGGCAGAGAGGCAGGCAGAGAGAGAGAGAGGGAGGTAGGAGGAAGCAGGCTCCCTGCCAAGCAGAGAGCCCGACGCGGTGCTTGATCCCAGGACCCTGGGATCACGACCCGAGCTGAAGGCAGAGGCTTAACCCACTGAGCCACCCAGGCGCCCCTCTTTAGTCAATTTTTTTAAAGACCAATACACATATATCTTGGTTTTTTTATAAAAGTACAACATACATATAGTGTGCATAAGGGTTCAGCTGGCTGAATTTTCAGACTGGGCATTACAGTGTAACTAACACCCATATTAAATAACAGAACATTACCAGCACCCCTAGAAACCCTTCATATTCCCTTCTAATAACCACCTGCCTTCTCCTCTGAGGATAAACCATTACCCTGACTTCTAATGCATATATTATTTTTGTCTCTTTTGGTAATTAATAAAAACAGATTCATGCAGTATGAAGTCTTCTTGTCATATCTTCTTTTACTTGACATTATGTTTATGAAATTCATATCGTTAGGTATCATTGTGGCTGATCTCATTGTGGTATAGTGTAGCCTTTCTGAATATACCACAATTTAACCATTCTTCTATTGAAAGGCTCTTTAATTATTTATTAATGCCCAATTATTAGTCTAGTCAAATTTATATTTAAGCTAACTTTGAATACGATAATGTTAATTTTTCTTGATTTTTGGTGATAACTCTTTTTTCCTTCTTCCTGTAACAAGTTTACCAGAAAACTATATTCTCTTTTCTAGGATGATTGTAGAGTTGTTTTGGCAAAGCAGGAAATTACAAGGTTACTAGAAACACTGCAAAAACAGCAGCAGCAGTTTACAGAGGTTGCAGATCACATTCAGTTGGATGCCAGTATCCCTGTCACTTTTACAAAGGTAATGTACGGTACTTCATTTTTAGGTATGGCTTCTGATAAATCATAATTGTTTTACATTCCATGATAATCAGCTTGAAGAGACAGCTAAGAAATTCATAGGGTTTTTTGAAAAAAACTTTTATCAGTGGAAAATAGAAAGTGGTGTAATGAATCTCCATGTACCCATCACCTACTTTAACAATTAAAAACTTTATTTCATCTATGCTTTTCCCCATTCCCCTTTCTACCTGCAGTCTCTCAGGTTATTTTGGAACAAATCCCAGCATATCATTTCATCTATGAAATATTGTTGTGTGTATTTGTAAAAGGTAAGGACTATTTTAAAAAACATAACCAAAATATTGTTATAAACCTAAAAAAATTTAATAATGAATCTCTAATATTAACCATTATCCAGTTAGTTATTCAAATTTTCCAGATGGCTAAAAAAATGTTTTGTTTCTGGAAACAGAATCCAACCAAACAAGGCCTGTACTTGCCATTTGGTTGATATATTTTGGTCTCTTTTACAGTTAATTTCCTCTAATCTAAAAAGTTCATTTGTTTCATTTTATTTTCCTTTCTTAGGGTCTGTTTTTTTAGAACTTAATCTTATTTTATAGCTCTGTGAAACATTTTACATGGTCCAGAGTCGAATCTACAAAGCAGGGTTTATTTAGAGAAGTCCAGCTTCTATCCCTAACCCCTCAATGCTTTTCCTCCTTTCTCCATAGAAAAGCCTCAAGAGTTTTTCCTTAGTTTTCTTCATCATTTAAAAAACAATACAAGGAAATACATTTATTCACATATTTGTATGTACACTCATATTTGAAGGTAGAAAACATTAATTCTCCTCTTTGTTCTTTTCACATAAGTTTATGTTCTAGAGATTACTCCATAGCAGTATTCAGTTACATTTTCTGTTCTTTTTTTTTTGCAGGGTACTTTATTGTGCAGATATACCACATTTGTGTGTGTGTGTAAAAAATGGAAAAGTTACCATCTTATCCTTTTTTTTTTTTTTTTTTTTTTGAAAGAGAACGTGAGCTTAGGGAGAGGGGAGAAGCAGAGGGAGAGAGAAAATCTCAAGCAGGCTCCATGCTCAGCATGGAGGGAGCCCGATGCAGGTCTTGAGCTCATGACCCTGAGATCATAACCTGAGTTAAAATCAAGGAGTCAGATGCCTAACTCACTAAGCCACCCAGGCACTCTTAACCATTTTTAATTGTACAGTTCAGTATTGTTAAGTATATTTACATTCAGTATACCTCCAGGAATTTTGCATTTTGAAAAACTGAACTTCCATGCCATATAAACAGTAACTCCCCTTTCCCCCTCTCTCACCACCTCCTGGGAACTAGCATTCTACTTCTGTTTTTTGTGAATTTTAGTATTCGAAATACCTCATGTAATGACCAATATATAAGTGGAGCTATATAGTCAGTATTTGTTTTTTTATGACTGGCTGATCTCAATTAGTATATCCTCAGAATTCACCCATATTGTGGCATGTGACAGAATTTTCTTCTGTTTTAAGGCTAAATAATACTGCATTGTTTGTATATACATTTTATTTATACATTCATCCTTTGGTGGACATTTGGGTTGCTTCCACATCTTGGCTATTATAAATAGTGGTAACTGAACATGGGTGTACACATATTCCTCTGAGACCTTGCTTTCATTTCTTTTGGTATGGATCTGGAAGTGAGATTACTAGATATGGCAGTTATATTTTTATTTTTTTGAGGAAATGTTGTTTTCCATAGTGGTTGTACCATTTGTAATCTTACCAACAGTGCACAAGGGTTGCAATTTTTCCACATTTTCATTAACACATTAATTTTTTTTCTTTCTTTTTTTTTTAGATAGTAGCCATCCTGTTAGATGTGAGGTGATATCTCATCGTGGTTTTGATTTGCATTTCTCTGATGATTAATGAAGTTGAGCCTCATTTCATATGCTTATTGGCCAGCTTATTTATATTTTCTTTGGACAAATTTTGTACAAGTCCTTTGCCTGTTTTTTAATTGAGTTCCTTGATTTTTTTCATTGAGCTGTAGGAGTTCTTTATATATTGTAGTAGGGAATCCATTCCTAGATACATGATTTCCAAATACTTGGTCACATTTTGTGAGTTGCTTCTTCACTTTGTTGATAGTGTCCTTTGAGTCACAAAAATTTAAGATTGATTTGGTCCCATTTGTCTACTTTTGCTTTTGTCAACTGTGTTTTTGGTGTTATATCCAAAAAAAAAAAAAAATCCCTGCCAAATCCATTGTCATGAAGATTTTGCACTATGTTTTCTTCTAAGAGTTTTATAGTTTTGGGTCCCATTTTGGAACTTTTATCCATTATTTTAAAATCCAAATATTTGTAATTGTTATACGTTATTTGTAAATCTACCGTTTTATCAATATATAATGAACTTTTGTCTCTTAAAACAGTTTTTTTTTTAAAGATTTTATTTATTTATTTGACAGACAGAGATCACAAGTAGGCAGAGAGGCAGGCAGAGAGAGAGAGAGGAAGGGAAGCAGGCTCCCTGTGGAGCAGAGAACCCGATGCGGGGCTCAATCCCAGAACCCTGAGATCATGACCTGAGCCAAAGGCAGAGGCTTTAACCCACTGAGCCACCCAGGCGCCCCCCTTTTTTTTTTTTTTTAATATTTTATTTATTTATTTGACAGAGATCACAAGTAGGCAGAGAAGCAGGCAGGGGGAGAGAGAGGAAGGGAAGCAGGCTCCTTGCTGAGCAGAGAGCCCGATGCAGGGCTTGATCCCAGGACCCTAAGACCATGACCCTGAGACCATGACCTGAGCTGAAGGCAGAGGCTTAACCCACTGAGCCACCCAGGTGCCCCCCGAGGCGCCCCTCTTAAAACAGTTTTTGATTTAGTCTATTTTGTCTCATTCTAGGATAGCCACCCCTGCTCTCTTGAATATGGTTTACATGGAATATCTTTTTCTTTTTCTTCACTTTCAGCCTTCTTATGTCCTTAAATATGAAGTGAGTCTCTTATAGACAGCATATTGTTAGATCTTGGGTATTTTTTATAAAACTGTGTCTTTTCATTGGGGAATTAAACCCATTTATATTTCAAGTAATTATTAATAGTTAAGGACTTGTTGTTACCATTCTGTTCATAGTTTTTTGTATATCTTATAGCTTTTTTCTTTTCCTTTTGCCTTATTGCCTTCTTCTCTGTCTCGGTGATTTTTTTTTTTTGAAGATTTTTTTAATTTATTTGACAGACAGAGATCACAAGTAGGCAGAAAGGCAGATAGAGAGAGAGGAAGGGAAGCAGGCTCCCCGCCGAGCAGAGAGCCCGATGTGGGGCTCAATCCCAGGACCCTGGGATCATGACCTGAGCCAAAGGCAGAGGCTTTAACCCACTGAGCCACCCAGGCGCCCCTCAGTGATTTTTTATAGTGTCATGGTTTGATTCCTTAGTCATTTCTTTTTGTGTATATTCTGTGGATTTCTGTGTTTACCATTGCTATTACAAAGAACATCTTGTTATAACATTCTGTTGGAAAGTGGTAAGAATTTAACTTTTTCTGCATATAAACGGTCTATTCTTTTATAGCTCCACTCCCCCATACTTTATGTTTTAATATCACAGATTACATCTTTGTATATTGTATACCTGTTACCACAGGCTTACAGTTTTTTTTTAATGTTTGTTATTTCAATTCTGTAAGGAATTAGATTTGTGCAACAAAATTATAATAATACGGGTTGCTATTTGTCCATGGAATAGGAGGAATGAGTAGGAGATGAAATAATCAACAAAAATATTATAAATAAAAGTATAAATGCTAGTACTTTTAAATTCCATATCAAAATAAGATTTAAATTTTTAAAAATTACAGGACAATAGAGTTCACATTGGACCAAAAATGGAAATTCGAGTTGTTACGTTAGGATTAGATGGTGCTGGAAAAACTACTATTTTGTTTAAGTTAAAACAGGATGAATTCATGCAGCCTATTCCAACAATTGGTAAGTATAAGTACTGCTTTTTACTTTGATGGATGCTTTATAGACAAACCCTAGCTTATAGCTGAGTTCTTGGGGGGGTCTTATTTGATGCCAGTATGGCACTGTGGTGGGCTTTTACTGGCTCTAAGACGCTAACATGTCTGAGAAAAAAATGGAAGGTTCAGTGCTGTGGGATTGAAATGTGGATGGTGGGATATTAAGACAGAACAGTGTTGGTGGGACAGTTGGAAGGATTAAAGGATTGGTGAGGATTAGGGTGAGGGAGTGGTAGTGGTGCAGAGCTGTTAGGTATTTGAGTTTCAGGATCTAAGGATCCTGCTGGAGGCTTAGAGGGCTAATAGCTCTTAAAGGTATATATTCCCCATCTAGGTTTATTAGGAGTGGAGTTGGTTGGGGCAGCAGTAGATATTGCTGTATGAAGATAACTTGTATTATCACAATTCTAAACAGTGGGTCACCTGTGTTTGGTGTGTTATTCATTATAAATACAAGTTCAGTATTAAAGTAACTTTTTTCAAAAACAGGTTTTAATGTGGAAACTGTAGAATATAAAAATCTAAAGTTCACTATTTGGGATGTAGGTGGAAAACACAAATTAAGACCATTGTGGAAACATTATTACCTCAATACCCAAGGTAAGAATGAAAATTGATATCTTAGTTTTTCAGAATTTTAAGATGCCAGTTTTCTGTGGAATTGATTTTAACTAGTGAAACTTATTTTTATTAAAATGCTAAGGTGGTGGGGCGCCTGGGTGGCTCAGTGGTTAAGCCTCTGCCTTCGGCTCAGGTCATGATCTCAGCGTCCTGGGATCGAGCCCCACATCGGGCTCTCTGCTCAGCGGGGAGCCTGCTTCCTCCTCTCTCTGCCTGCCTCTCTGCCTACTTGTGATCTCTGTCTGTCAAATAAATAAATAAAATCTTTAAAAAAAAATGCTAAGGTGGAAAGGTTGGGATATGTACTTCGGTTTATTCATTAAAAAAATCATAGCTTAAAACCATACTTACCTTTTATATCTAGGCAGTTAGGAGTACATACCGCTTGCTGCTCTTAACAGTTAAAGTACATTATTACTATTCATATGAGTGTGATCACTGGTAATATTGTGAGGAAGGACAGAATTCTTGGTGTATGTTTCCGCTGCTCTCTTCAGTTCAGTAAAATATTTGTCTCATTATAATCTCTCAGTTACTCCAGAAGAACCTGCAGTGGTTTGCTTTTGGCCAAACTGTTTTACCACACATTCCACCTAAAGTATTTTTTATATTTAGGCCCCATTTTATGCTTTTGCCTGTACCCAACATGAAACTTATGTTCATGCCACGTTTCATATATCGTCATACCTTCCACCTAGCAGAGAAACTAGGTAATTATTTTTACATTGGGATTTTTGATACAGTGATTAATAGGGAAAAAATGGTATTTTGAACATGAGGAATGGTTGAAAAGTCGGGATTTTTAGCTACCATGAGGTAGCTAGAAAGATTTCGAAAGGGAATCAATTCAGTATATACTTGTGATGTTTCTGCTGTATATTTTGAATACAGTATATGTGGAAGGTGCTGTGTAAGGCACCTAGAGAGAATACTTTGGAGAGATAATGATGGTGATTTATTTAGATTATTTTTTGGCCAAGAAAGTAGTAGTCAAAGAATAAGTAGCATCATAGGCCACAAAAGAAGCCTCAACAAATTCAAAAAGATCAATGCATCTTTTCTTTATTTTTCTTTTTTTAAAGATTTATTTACTTAGTGTGAGTGGGGGATGGGCAAATGGAGAGGGAGAGGGAGAGAGAGAATCTCAAGCAGACTCCCTGAGGAGCCCCATGTGGGACTTGACCCCATGACCCTGAGATCATGACCTGAGCTGAACAACTGTGCCATCAAGGAATCCCTCAATGTGTCTTTTCTGATCACAATGCTATGAAACTAGAAGTCATCCACAGGAAAGAATATGGGAAGACTGTAAATATATAGGGGTTAAATAACATGCTACTAAACAATGAATGGGTCAACCTGAAAAATCAAAGAACTCAGAAAGTATGTGGAAACAAATGAAAATGAAAACACAGTGGTTCAAAACCTTTGGGATGCAGCAAAAGCTGTTCTAAGAGGGAACTCTGTAGCAATACAGGCCTACCTCAAGAAGTAAGACAATCTCAAGTTAACCTTATACCTAAAGGAGCTAGGAAAAGAACAAACAAATGCAGCCCAAAACCAGTAGAAGGAAAGAAATAATAAGATTAGAGCAGAAATAAATGATACAGAAACTAAAAAAACTTATAGAACAGATCAATGAAACCACGAGCTTGTTCATAAAAAAAAGTCAATAAAATTGATAAACTCCTAGCCAGAGTTATCAAGAAAGAGAAAGTTACCAAATAAATCACAAATGAGAGAAAAAAAGTAACAATAACAACAACAACAAAAAAAAACCCCACAGAAATACAAGCAATTAGAATATTATGAAAAAGTATATGTGAACAAATTAGACAATCTAGAAGAAATGGATAAATTCCTAGAAACATAAACTACTAAAACTGAAATAAGAAAAAAATAGAAAATTTGAACAGTCTGATTACCAGCAAAGCAATTGAATCAGTAACCAAAAAACTCCCAGAAAATAGAGGTACCTGGGTGGCTCAATAAGTTAAGTGTCTCCCTTTGGCTCAGGTCGTGATCTAGGAGTCCTGGGATCCAGCCCTGCATCTGGCTCCCCACTCAGTGGGTAGTCTACTTCTTCTCTCCCTCTGCCCCTCCCCACTGCTTGTGCTTCCTTCTCTCTCTGTCTCTCAAATAAATAAGTAAAATCTTTTTTTTTTTAAGGTTTTATTTTTTTATTTGACAGATCACAAGTAGTCAGAGAGGCAGGCAGAAAGAGAGAGGAGGAAGCAGGCTCCCTGCTGAGCAGAGAGCCCAACGCAGGACTCGATCCCAGGACCCTAAGATCACAACCTGAGCCGAAGGCAGAGGCTTTAACCCCCTGAGCCACCCAGGCGCCCCCAATAAGTAAAATAGTTAAAAACAAAACAAAACTCTCAACAAACCAAAGTCCAGGATCAGATGGCTTTGCAGGAGAATTCTACCAAGCATGTAAAGAAGAGTTAATACCTATTCTTCTCAACTATTCTAAAAAATAGAAAAGGAAGGAGAACTTCCAAATTCATTCTATGAGGCCAGCATTACCCTGATATCAAAACCAGATGGATAACACAAAAAAGAACTACCATCCAATTTCTCTGAACAAAGATGCAAAAATCCTCAATAAAATACCAAAAAACTGAATCCAACGATATAAAAAGATCATATACCACGACCAAGTGGTATTTATTCCTAGGTTGCAAGTGTGTGTCAGTAATTGCAAATCAATCAACATGATAGATCATGTCAATAAAAGAAAGGATAAAAACTGTATGATCATTTCAATAGATACAAAAAAAAAGGCATTTAACAAAGTACAACATCTCTTTATGATAAAAACCCTCAACAAAGTGGGTTTAGAGGGAACATACCTCAACGTAATAAAGACCATCTATGAAAAACCCACAGCTAACATCATCAATGAGAACCTTTCCCTAAGGTTAGGAGCAAAACAAGATGTCCATTCTCATCACTTTTATTCAACATAGTCCTGGAAGGGCTAGCCACAGCAATCAGACAAAAAAAGAAAAGGCATCCAAATTGGCAAGGAGAAATAAAACTTTCACTGCTTTGCTGATGACGTGATATTGTGTGTGTGTGTGTGTGTGTGTGTGTATCTGGCCTGAAAGACCACCAAAAACTGTTAGATAAACGAAGTCAGTTAAGGTATAGGATACAAAGTCAAATTACAGAATTCTGTTGCATTTTTATACACCAGTAATGAAGCAGCCGAAAGAGAAGTTAATAATCACATTTACAGTTGCACCTAAAATAATAATGATACCTTGGTATAAACGTAACCAAAGAGCTAAAAGACCCATACTCTGAAATCTCTAAAACACCGATCAAACAAATTAAGATGAAACAAAGAAATGGAAACACATTTCATGCTTATGGATTGAGAAAAATATGGAGTGCCTGGGTGTCTCAGATGGTTAAGCACCATCCGCCTTTGGCTTAGGTTATGATCTCCAGGTCATGAAATCGAGGCTTACATCAGGCTCTCAGCTCAGTGGGATGTCTGCTGCTGCCTTCCCTCTGCTTCTCCCTCTGCTTCTCTCCCTGCTTGCGCTCTCTCTCTCTCTCTCTCTGTCACTCTCAAATGAATAATAAAGTCCTAAAAAAATACTTAAAAAAATGAAAGAACAAATATTGTTAGAATGTCTATACTACTCAAAACAATCTACACACTTAATGCAATTCCTATCAAAATACCAACAGCATTTTTCATAGAGCTAGAACAAACAATCCTAAAAAGACCCCGAATAGCCAAAGCAATCTTGAAAACGAAAAGCAAAGTTGGAAGTATCACAATTATGGACTTCCAAGTTAAATTACAAAGCTGTAGTAAACCAGTATGGTACTGGCACAAAAATAGACATAAAGATCAATAGAACAGAATGGAAAACCCAGAAATAAACCCACAATTGTACAGTCCGTCAACCTTTGCTAAAGCAGGAAAGAATATCCAATTGGAAAAAGAAAGTCTTTTAAACAAATGGTGTTAGGAAAACTGGAAGTGACATGTAAAAAAAAAGAAACTGGACCACTTTCTTACACAATACATGAAAATAAATTCAAAATGAATTAAAGACCTAAATGTTAGACCTGCAGCTATAAAAAGCTTAGAAAAGAGCACTGGTAATAATTTCTCTGACATTGGCCTAGCAACTTTTTTCTAGATAGGTCCTTTGGGGCAAGCGAAACAAAAGGAAAAATAAACACTGGGACTACATCAAAATAAAAACCTTCTACACAGCGAAGGAAACAACAAAACTAAAAGGCAACCTATGGAATGGGAAAAGGTATTTGTAAATGACATATCCAGTGAAGGGTTAGTATCCAAAATACATCAAGAACGTACACAACTCAAGATCCAAAAACTAAATAATCCAATTAAAAAATGGGCAGAAGACGTGAATTGACATTTCTTCAAAGAAGACATCCAGATGGCCACCAGACACATGAAAAGATGCTTATCATCATTTACCATCAGGGAAATGCAAACAAAACTGCAGTGAGATATCACCTTACACCAGTCAATAATGTCAACAATATAAGAAATAACAGGTTTTGGTGAGGATGTGGGGAAAAAAAAGGAACCCTCTTCCAGTGTTGATTAGAATTCAAACTAATCAACCAGTGCAGCCACTCTGGAAAACAGTATGGATTTCCTCAAAAAGTTAAGATTAGGACTACTTTATGATCTAGCAGTTAGACTACTAGGTATTTACCCAAAGAATACAAAAACATTAATTCAAAGGGATACATGCACCCCAATGTTTATAGTACTATTATCAACAATAGTCAAGTTATGGAAATAGCTCAAGTGTCCATTGATGAATGGGTAAAGAAGTTGTGATACATATATATATATATATAATGGAATATTACTCAGCCATAAAAAAAATGAAATCTCATCATTTACAATAACATGGATGGAGCTAGAGAGTATAATGTTAAGTGAAATAAGTCAGAGAAAGACAAAGACCATATGGCTTCACTCATGTGGATTTTAAGAAACAAGCAGGGGCGCCTGGGTGGCTCAGTGGGTAAAGCCTCTGCCTTCAGCTCAGGTTGTGATTTCAGTGCCCGGGGATCGAGCCCCGCAGTGGGCTCTCTGCTCAGCGGGGAGCCTGCTTCCCCCTCTGTCTCTCTGCCTACTTGTGATCTCTGTCCAATAAATAAAAAATCTTAAAAAAAAAATATTAAGGGGCGCCTGGGTGGCTCAGTGGGTTAAAGCCTCTCCTTCGGCTCAAGTCATGATCCCAGAGTCCTGGGATCAAGCCCTGCATTGGGCTGTCTGCATAGCAGGGGGCCTGCTTCCCTTCCTCTCTCTCTGCCTGCCTCTCTGCCTACTCGTGATATCTGTCTGTCAAATAAATAAATAAAATCTTTTAAAAAAAAGTATTAAAAAAAAAGAAACAAGCAAGCAAAGGGGGGAGAAAAGAGAGAAATCTAGAAATGGACTCTTAACTATAGAGAACAAACTGTTGGTTATCATGGGGAATTAAATGGGGGACAGATGGAAAAGGTGATGGGGATTAAGGAATGCACTTGTCAAGATGAACATTGGGTGATTAAAATAAAAACTTAAAAAAGGAACAAGTAGCATCATTATGGAAATCATGAAAGGTATATTCTAATTAATTAAGAATATTCATATACACAGCACTTTGTGTTTGGTGGAGCAAGTGTTGTAAATCCTGTTACACATGGGGAAATGAAGAGATCTGAAAAGTTAGGTGAACCACTTGAGGTCATACTGTTAAGTATTGCTAGGTGCTCTTATAGTAGGCAGCCTTTCTGTGAAAAACATAGTAAATAGTAGACTAACCATAATAAAATAATGAGACCATTAAAGTATTTGGTCCATTTATGAAAGTTAACAAATGACTAATTCGGTTTTTTTTTGGGGGGGTAGCTGTTGTATTTGTTGTTGATAGCAGTCATAGAGACAGAGTTAGTGAAGCACACAGTGAACTTGCAAAGTTGTTAACGGAAAAAGAACTCCGAGATGCTTTGCTCCTGATTTTTGCTAACAAACAGGTAAGACGTTTATATTTCAGAATACTTATTTAGTATTTTGTGTATTCTGTGTCATAAGGTAGCATAAAGTAATTTCAAAACTGATAATTCGATAGATATTTAAGAAGTTTGTGCTGGGTATTTTAAATACAATATATATAGAAAGTACTCTACTTGGTACCTTGGAGTATATAAGGTGGTTGATGCTTACCAGAAACTCCTATATACGTTTGTAAACATGTAAGTGACTGTATATGAGATTCTAATACATAGAAAACTGGTAAGTAACTTCAGTAATATTAACAATGTCATGGAAAAATAGAGTGGTTCTAAAGGTGGCATCTTATAAAAGATGTGTACAGTGGGATTTGAGTTGAAATTATGATAAGAGTTCAAATTATGGGTAGGACTTTTGAGTCAGTATGTGAAAGAAAGAACACTGTAGGCAGAGAAAATGGAAGCATGAATGTTTTAGGGGAGCATCAACAGATATATATGTGAGGGGCAAGTAGAGAGGATGAAGAAAATCTAGAACAACAGATGAGGTCTAGGCTGGAAAACTTAGATTTTATTCCATGACAAAGGAAAACCAGCAAAAGGTTCCAGACTCATATCTGTGTTTTAAGACTGTAATCTGGGGGTAGGACACAGAATTAATCAGGGGGAAGGGACTAGAGACAGGTAGATGCAGTGAATTGCTGTAATAATTCAAGTGGGAGAGTTAACAAGACTCTGAATTAAAGGAATAGAAGGGTGGAAGCAGATGGAAAAGAGTTTATGAAGGTAGATTTGTTAGAATTTGGTGTCTGAATGGGGATGGTCAAGGACAGGGAGAAGCTACATATTCCTATATCTTGAGTCTATGCTTCTAGGAGGATGAGAATGCTTTTCCATACAGTAGAAGGGCTAAGATCTCATAAAAAGAAAGGGTAGGATGAAGAATAAGGGATTTCCCTCTTAACAAAAAAAATAAAAGGCAAACTAAGAGCAGATACACTTTGCTTTACTTACTGAAAAAGACATGCAGATAAGGCAAAGTAGAATATCATTTCCACTTAAATTGTTAAAAATGTTTCATAATCTTCAGACTCACATATACTGTATGGTGTGGTTTTAAACACATTTTCTTGGAGGGCAATTTGGCAGTATCATACCTATCAAAATTTTAGATGCATATACCCTTGCACCATACAATTCTACCTCTAGTAATGTATTCCAGATATAAATATCCTAAGGTTATCCTGCAGAAAATGTTGCAAATGAATGTAGTTAAAAATGTTACATATGTATATGTATGTATTTGTAATAGCACATAAACAGAACCTCAATCTAGATATTAAGTAAAGGACTGATTAAGAAAATTATCTTGCACCTACACCCTGGAATGCAATTCAGATGTTAAAAATAATGTAGGTCTTCTTGTCCAAATAATGGAAAGATATCTATATTTAAGATGTGTTAAGTTAAAAAAAAAAAAGCTAAAGTGTGTTTCTGTTTATTTGTATGAATGTGCATGGAAATTATCTGGACAACTATATAAGAAATCATAATTCGTGGTTGCATCTAGGAAGTAGGGGTGTTCAGGAGTATTTGGAGTGGGAGTTTAGTTACTGTTCATTATATAAACTCTATATAAGCCATTTTTGTGATACGCATGCATTAACCTGTTTCTTTTAAGTTGATGCCGTATGACTCAGGCAGTATCTTTCATTCAGGTTTCATCACCTTTATTAATTTCACTGTAAGGCCATTCTTACAGACTATACTATAAATGATCTTTTTTTTTGTTGTTGTTGTTGTTGCCTTCTTTATTTTATATTTAGTTTCCTATACTATAAATGATCTTAATCACAACTCTACTTTTCTCTATACTTATTAATCACAGAATAATTACTGAGGGGTGAATCTAGGTTTTAACTTTAGCTTTCTGTTAGAATGGTACCAACAGAATTCGTTTTAAATGGTAATTTTGATGGGCTGATTATAAAAAAGATTCTGATATGTATATATCTTTCAGGATGTTGCTGGAGCTCTGTCAGTAGAAGAAATCACTGAACTTCTCAGTCTGCATAAATTATGCTGTGGCCGTAGCTGGTATATTCAGGGCTGTGATGCTCGAAGTGGTATGGGACTTTATGAGGGGTTAGATTGGCTCTCAAGGCAACTTGTGGCTGCTGGAGTACTGGATGTTGCTTGATTTTAAATGCAGAAGTTATTTAAAGTTTTGTGGTTAAGAGTTATTTTGCACATAAATGTTATAAGAAATTCTACATCTCAAAGGGTTTATTTAGGATGTATATTTAAAAGGAATCTCGGGTGGGGGAATTCAGTACAATATTGCCTTTTAAAAAATTACTCTAATAAAATTTAAACATGTGAGCAGATTAAAATTGCATTAAGTAGGGACTTTTTGAAGATACATTTTTAAAAAACATACATTTGTTATTTAAGTTTTTCACATTATGTGTGACCCATATATTGGCAAAGAAGTAGTCAGAGAAAGGGTAAGATGAAGGTTTATTCTTTCAATTAAAAAAGGAATAGGCAACTGAATACCGAATGGAACCTCTGTGTGAAGCAAGTAAAGCATGGCTTCTTCTTTATCTTTCCTTTCACCTGGATTTTGGCAGTATTTAGTAGCAAAAAAGCAGTGACGTAATGAAATAGAATCCAGACTGCATCTTGGGGTAACAGGATTACTTTACTTCTTTGTTCAGTGTAACAGAATATCTTTAATGCTAAGTACTATAAACTACAGAAAATTAATATTTTATAATGTTTTATTGAAACTTTCTCTAAGCCCTTTTATATGAAACCCAGTGAGTCAGATGAAATGTTATCTAACTAGATATGAGTGTCAGATTAGTATTAAACTGAAGAACAATTAATAAAACTGTGAAAGTCAGTTATGTTGTAGTTAATCTTCACTTATGAAAGACCCATTTCCAGGGTTGAACCTCGAAGTGTTATTTCCTAGGTCACAGCTCTAAATTGGTTCTCCTATTTTCAGCACATTTAAAGTAGTTAGTTTCTTTTTAAAATAATACTGCATCCTTAGTGGGAACGACCATAGGCAAAATGTAGTAAGTTACACATAGAACCAGGGTTGGCTGTACATAAAAGATAAAGATCTAAGTCGGAAACTACATTTACCTTAAGAGAAGTCATTTAAAGTAGTGGAGAATCAGTTACTTTAAATGCTTTCCCAAAATAAATACACTTGTCTTGACAATAAGACATTATTAAGGCTCTTCATGGTAAGGCCTTGAAAAGTTAAGGAAGGAAAAGAAATGTTCAGAAACTTTGCAGCACATTTATTATGCAGTGTTGTAAAAGTTTAAAATTTTGTGCTTTTCAGTTTTTCATTTTTTAAGGATACTAACTTATTATGGCCATATGACTTATATTTAAACATGGCTAGATTGGGTTTTGTTATTATTATTTTTTTAATGCTCCTCAGCCTTTAGGATGAAGCTGAATAATCCCAAGTCTTATTAGTTGAAATGCTAAGAGATGTCCCTCTTAGGTGGCACTGTTTTGGTTCATTGTCTTCAAATGTACTTTTGTTTGTTTAAAATAAACAGCAAAAATTTTAGAATACAAAGCATTAAAAAGAAGTCCATCAGTGTTATGGGCAGTATGTAAATAAGTAAATATTTCATCCTTTATTTTTCAAGTAAAAGTCATGCTGTTACAAGTGTAATTTGTGCATATAAGTAACACTTATGAATTAAATTATTTAATAATTGATTATAGTAACTGTGAAGAATAAAAAACACGTTAACATTTGCCTGTGAGCCCTTGACCTGTTTTCTCTACTAGGTAATTGGGGAAAAAAAGTCTAACACTAACATGTGAACTTGTTTTCCTTGTAAATTAAATTCATTTCACCAATTTTGCTAAACTTTGTAATTCACATTGTTAGCATATTACTAAACACAATGTAAAAATTGTGCTTAGACCTGATTATAATGTACATAATAGTGTTTGTGTGTGATTTCTTTTTTAAGAAATATTTTTCTCAGGCTCTTATGACTATTTGTCGTTGTATTCTTTCACTAATTATTAGTTAAGATTTTGTAGTTCCCTCTGGGAAATGTCAAACTTAATAATGAGAGAGATGTTTTAAATCCAGTCTATTAGGATTTGCCTCCTAGCTCTGAATTTCTGTATTAAGCCTAAATAATACTGTATGGTTTATGTAAAGCAGGTTTTAACAAGTGTGTAGCCCTGGTCTGTAATTCTGGAATGCTTTATCATCACCAGAAGCCATTATTTGCATTACATATAGACAGCAATAAAATGTTAAAATAATTTTAAAGAGGTCCTATCATTATTCTAAAAGTTCTGTTTCATGTATCATCTGTATACTAGTATAACTAGTAACCAGTTAAAGTCATATTTGTGCTGTGGTTCAGAGAAAGCCAAGTGGGGTAGCGGTTGACTTGCATGTCAAATCTGAGTTGCAGTTTATTAAAGATTTAGAAGTAATTTATTCTGTAGTTGCAGTGTAAGCCACACATAAATGAGTATTATTGCTAGTGTTTTGATAGAACTAAAATTTTTCATCAAACAAAGTGAAACTCGGTTTTTAAATTTTAAGTAACTACTTTAGAAAATGTCTAAGAAAACTTAGGTGTAGCCTATAAACTAATACTGCTAAAAGGAAGACATTTTCTGTAGCATTGAAATACCCTTGAATCTGCAAAATAGTAATAGGGAAAAAGACATTGTACTTTCCCTAAAAAAATAATGAAGAGGATGAATAAGCATCTTGCTAATAATTTAAAACATGCTTTTAAAAAAGCACATCTCATGGGTGCCTGAGTAGCTCAGTGGGTTAAGCCACTGCCTTCGGCTCAGGTCATGATCTCAGGGTCCTGGGATCAAGCTACACATCAGGCTCTCTGCTTAGCAGGGAACCTGCTTCCCCCTCTCTCTCTGCCTGCCTCTCTGCCTATTTGTGATCTCTCTGTCAAATAAATAAAATATTAAAAAAAAAGTATATCTGGCAATGTCTGTTTTTAGGTCTACTGATTATGTTAAATTTATGACATGAAATGGAAAAATTTGTTTATCAAATAGGATTTTTCACTCAAGCAAAAGAACTATGTTTGGCAAAATGGGTCAACACCACCAGTTGGTGGCAGTATTATCAAAAATTTAGGATTATGTTTTCAGGAATGAATAAATTCTAGGGAGATGTCTAGACACATAAAATAGGAAGAAAGGTAAATGTCACAGTGAGAAGTCATTTTATGTCTAAGATCTACTTTATAAAAGGAGGGCATGATACTAGTTTAAAGTAGCACAACTTGGCACATTCTTCCATCTCACAGGTTTGTGGTACAAAATGGATAAAGGAAGTAATCCTGTTTATCAACACAAAGTATATGTGAATTCCCTAAACAGGTCTGTTGAACGTGTCCCTCCTTTAACTTCTTGTTCTCCTTTAACTTCAAGAGTCTCTGGAAACTAGAAGCAACGGTTCTTAAGAGTTAGGAAGTCAGGAGGGAAAGTGAAGAAGAAATCAACACAACATTTTGAACTCATACTGTTTTACAGCTCGAGTTACTAATAATTGCTCCATTATTAGCTACTAAAAGTTTACATATAGTTTAAAAAAATATATTTATTTACTTGACAGACAGAGATCACATGTAGGCAGAGAGGCAGTCAGAGAGAGGGGGGGAAGCAGGATCCCTGCTGAGCAGAGAGCCCGATGTGGGGCTCCATCCCAGGACCCTGGACTCATGACCTGAGCTAACCCACTGAGCCACCCAGGCACCCCAATATATACTTTCTTGATGGTATATTTAGTAAGGTAAGAAAAGATACTGTAACTTGAGGACAGAAAATTTGAATTTAGTTACATGAGGAAAATAATGTGAAAATAGTAAAATGGACTTGTATGTAAAACTAAGGACTGAAGTATTAATTTATTCTTATTCTTATATTTAAATACTAGGTGTAATACTCATTTAAATGTGATTTACCTGAAACTCAGAATAAGTTACTCCTAAATCTTTAATAAACTACAACTTCCTATTTATGTCTGAAACTTCACTTAACACTACTTACTATTTTTAACAATGAAAGGCAAAAACTATATGACATGAAACATAAACCTAAGAGAAGAAGGGAAGTGGTATGTTACTATTAGATCCTGTTATCCTTTTTTAGTGGATCTAAAGAAACATGTGGGCAGATAATGTGGCATGTTTTAAAAAGCTAAGCAACCTATGCATACGATTCTCTGGTTTTGAGTCTCATGACAGATTACATGTAAGGGATGTTGTTTGCCCAAATTTGTCCACTTCAGTTTATCACCTCCTAGGATGAGAAATGCTGCAAGAAAAATCAAAGGCAGAGTTTTTAAAAAAAGGACCTTTAATGAAAAATATAAAAACATAATATTGGATCCTTGAAACATGATTTGTATGTTCAGCAAGTCCTAAGAGCTTTCTAATGTAAAATAACCCTGTTTGATATATGTGTGTTTTTATTTACACATACAATGAGACAAACCTTATTTTACTTGACAGTAATATTTATGATGCTGACATCCTCATAAGGCTTATCTGTTTTGGGATTGACTTTGACATTGGAGATCCTTTGTACAACTTCCATTCCTTTAGTCACTCGTCCGAACACTGTGTGCTTATTATCAAGCCAAGGCTGCATTGGAGGAGAAATGGAAAATCTTGGTAAACCCAGATTTCTTAAATCATACCCTCTGGGTGAGCAAATTAAAGAGAATTTAAGTTTATGCTTCATTTTTAAAATTTAATTAAAAGGATGTGCAGTTAACTTCATTTAGCAGCTTTTAAGAGTGATTTCCATAATGATATGAAAAAATATAAAAGCACAGTATAATGTTTAATTAGATATCTGCATCTTTCAGACCAAAGGGAGCTAGAAGATGTTTGCTAAAGGTAAGTCTCTCTGCATAGCTCAAGAATTATGCCTAAGGCTTTAAAATTTCTCTGCAGGATTCCTACCTGTATAAGAATGAGGCAGTTTGGAACTGTTAGCACATGCTGCTCATTCATATTAGAGAGATGGGAGCTCAAATGCTGGCTCTTGCTGCCTACTTGACCTCTGGCAAGTTAATCATGTCTCACTGTTCATTTCCTCATCTATTTTTAAAACTGGGCATAGTGATACTAGAAGGACTATGAATATTACATGAGACTTTGTGCCTGATAGTAATTACAAATATTGTTCCTTTGTTGCATGGTGCTTCATTCCAAAAAATAAAGTGTAATAATTTGTATAATTTTGTGTAACTGTATAGCAAGAAAGTGCAATATTCTTATATTCTTATATAATGAATATTCTTCAGTGAGTATAAAGAATATTCTTATATTCTTATATAATGCTGTATTTTAGCAAATCTACAGTGCTGTTGATTATGGGCTGCATTCTGATTTCAGATATAAAAATACAGAATAAAGCGCTTAAAATTCAGAATTCATATACTCTGATTTCTCCCATTCTGAAGATAAGGAAACAGCCCCAGAAGTGAAATAATTTGTTTTCTGTTGTACAACTAGTATTGGCAAGTTCACTTAAACTCAAGTGTCCTGAGTTTTACAAAGTAAAATCCAATTTGTTAGGTAATTTTCTACTTTCTTATTTAAATTGTTTTCATTTTTATATCCTAGCAGATATAAATAATGGTAGAGAATCCTGCAGCTCTCCTCCACTGAATTCATTCTTCGATCATAATCTATGACTCTGCGGCTTATAGACAATGCTGTTCTTACCGTTGGTACTACTGTTATGAAAAACTGGGATCCATTAGTATTCGATCCAGCATTGGCCATGCTGAGTGTATATGGTCTGTCATGTCGTAATGTTGAATGAAATTCATCTTCAAATTCTCCTCCCCATATGCTTTCACCTCCCATACCAGTTCCTGTTGGATCTCCTGTCTGAATCATGAAGCCCTTAACAGGAAGCACACAAAAAACACATTACACTTCTCTTTTTCTATATGCACACTTCGGAATCTTATGTTTAAGAGTCTTGTATAGTCAGTAAAATCTTAACTTTTCTTAACTCTCTATAAACTGATTTTATTGAAACCTCAGTAAGTTATATTTTACTTTAGAAGATATATTTCCATTGCTTAAACACTACCTTATTGACTGGAAACAAAACTGCAAAGATCTCCTCATTTATAGACATGTACTGTCTTTCCCAATAATCTAATTAAAACCAATTAATATTGTAAGGAAGTTTTAGATCTGTATAGTGTGCTAGGTTTTATAGAATTGCCCCTCTTTTCTCTCTTCCTTTTCTCTAAACACTCTGGATTGCCTGGTGAGTCATTTACTAATTCTTTCAGAACCCCCCAGATCTGATTATCCATCCCCCTTGTCATTTCTGACCTGCTAGTTACCAAGAACTGTATTACTGCCCCATCTATTTTATAGAACACCGCTCAACAAAATCCTGGGCCAAGTTCTTTCTCTTCTTCAGGTTTTAATTAGTGGTTCTCAAAGATTAAGTGGCATCATGTCTCTTTTATTACTTAAAATCTTATCTGCTAGATCTAGACCTTATCCAGTCACTAGGTACAAGTAACCTTAGCTTTGGGTTTTATCTAAGCATGACCTTTTACTCCGTATCGGACCCTGGCTTTAGCTGCTGACAAAATACTGAGGCAGTGTCTCTAAAAAGTACCAAGTTACTATTCCTGCGCTTGATTCCAAATTTGACATTCATGACCATCCTTTTTTTTTTTGGCTTCTACAGTCCATTTTTCCTATTTTTTTTTTTTTTAAAGAATTTTATTTATTTATTTGACAAAAAGAGAGCAAGCAAGCGAGTGAGCGAGCACAAGCAGGGGGAGTGACAGGCAGAGGGTGAAGGAGTAGATTCCTTGAGGAACAGGAAGCCCTATGTGGGGCTCCATCCCAGAACCCCGGGATCATGACCTGAGCCAAAGGCAGATGCTTAACTGAGCCACCCAGGCCCCCTTTCCTATTCCTTTCTAACAAACTGATCATTGTGAGACAGGACGATTCCTTAGGTTTAAACCTGTGGTTATGCAAAAACATACTGTTCCGGAAATCACTTAAATTTTCTGTCAACTTGGGGCACCTGGGTGGCTCAGTTAGGTAAGCATCTGACTCCTGGTTTCAGCTTGGGTCATGATCTCAGCCTGTGGGATAAAGCCCTGAGTCGGGCTCTGCCTTCAGTGGGGAGTCTGCTTGAAGATTCTCTCCTTCTGCCCCTCTCACCACTGCTCGTGCTCTCTCTCAAATAAATAAATCTTCGAAAAAATTTTTTGTATACCTTACCTTAATTATACGGTGAAATGTATGTCCATTATAATAACCATTTCTGCTGTGAACACAGAAGTTTTCCACTGTCTTAGGGCACCTAGTAAGACACATGTTAAAAATATGAAATCTATTCAGGGCATCTTAAGAGTTTTCTTTGCAGTTGTGCTTCTTAATGGTGTTTTCAATATCTTCTGAAACTTTCAGAATCGTTTTTTTTTTTCATAACCTCTTCTAACCTCAGGATAAGCAAGAGTTGAAAGAGCATATAAGCCACAGTATATTCATATTGTTTAGTATATTATCTTTAGATCATGATTGCTTATTATGTTTGAATTTGACAGTATTTAAATTTCAGAGTCATTTAGCAGGTTAAAAAATACAACTACAGTACCTTAAGATACATATGTTCATTGAATTCGTATAGTGGGTTCAGTTCCTGAGAAAGGAAATTTTCTTTAAAAACCATGTTGGGATGTATAGGTAATATATTTGTATATCACTTATAGTTTACATTCAGCACTTTTGTAGCTATGTTTCACGTTCCTAATAATAAACCTGTGAAGTATGTGTATAAAATTTTCCCATTTTCTAGAGGAACAATTATCAGAAAGCTAAAGGTAGATGCTCTATCAAACACTTCTTTAAAATTCCTCAAGTTGAAGTAATTTTAAATTGCACAGTTTCTTCAAATAAACACATTTACATTGGTGTTTAAGACAACAGAAATAGTACATACTCAACAGGAAAAAGTTTGATGTGAATGTCTCCCATACTTGTATGGATAATGGCACTATCTGAAACTCGTTTAGGTCCTTCAGCTTGAGTAGCTGCCATGACTTCTTCTTTCGAAGGTTTCTCATTAAAAACATCTCTGTCAGAATCTGCACTTTTTGTATCTTCTGGTTCTCGTTTGGTAAACTCAAAAGAAAAGTAGAGTGAATGAGTAAAATTTTCACCTGGTTAAAATTTAACAAGAAAATTTCCTTTCTATTTATGGTATTTGGGAAAAAGAATTCACATCAGAACAAATCCTTATTTCAGGAATCACTTCCTATCACAGGATGTGTAATACAGTTAAATTATCTTTACACTTGTCTAATATGAAAATCCATTAATGAAGATATATGATTTCAAATAGGATTTAATTTCTTTTTGGGTACACATTTAACAAGATGCAGTTTTATTTGAGGTAGCTCTCTGCTTCTGCCAGTTAATATGTCAAAACCTGTCATCTGTTGCTTACTTTCCACTATTTCTATTTCCTGGGTATGAATTCCAGCTCCGCTACTTATTAGTTACATGATTTGGGGGAAGTAAATTCATTTCTTCCATTTCCTCATTCATAAATGGGGATGATAATAACTACCTCAAAGTGGTACCTGCTGTGAAGATTAAATGAAGGGATATAACATGCTTAGAGAACAGTACCTAACATGTATAAGGTACTATATACATATTAGTAATTGTTATTACAAAGGCAGAACCTGGTGCTAGGTAGCCTGAGGATTCAAAGATGAATCAGAAATGCATCTTGACTTTCTTTTTTTATTGCCTGCAAAGCCCCATCTGTTCTATCTAAATCCTGAAGCTTGGGAGAAAGAATGTAAATTTTGAGTGAAGTTGTAGAAATTTCAGGGTACCTCAGGGTATTGGGAAAACTGAAAGAAACCTTTCAGTTGTTAAAACTTTGGACTTCTCTAAGCCTGTTTTTTGTTTGTTTGTTTTTTGTTTTTTTAACTTGACTTTCATTAAGTAGAGACTTTTTCTCCCAAGAAAGCCCTACCTGATAACCAATTGAGTTCCAGGAAGTAAAGCCAGTGTCCCAGGCCCCATCTTGCCTAATGTCATTCCTGATCTATTTGTATAAAGTCCAAATTAACAAACAACCAAGGTAGAATGTTGTTGCCTTATAATGTTACTCTCCAGTTTTCAAAGGAAGGGCAT